AAGTAGTGTTTGGAGCACATACTTTTTCACTTTTACTTGAGTAAAGAGGTCAAGTTGATACTTCAACTTTGACCAGAGTATTTTCTAAACTTTAGTATCTATACTTCTACTTAAGTAAGAATGTGTGTACTTTAGACACCGCTGCATATTTGCACCATAGATATTTGTCTTTGCCTTGTTCTGAACTTCCATATCAATGCGTTTTGCACCGTGTTTTTTTTCTCCCACGATCTTTACATATGATCACTGCTGCACTTAACGTTAATGTTTATTTCACTGCTAAGCTGCTGCTCATTTACTGTCTGAAAGCTAAACAAAACGAGATTTAGCTTTGACAATAAAAGTTTGTTGTGGTTTCTCATGATGACTGCTGACATTTTATTTGTTACTATGATTGGCTAAAACCAAATGTCACTAAAAATGTATGTGTAGGTGTCTGAATTTGTAAATGTAAGTCAATAGTGAGAGAAGAAGTCAACATGTTAAATCTCACACATAAATAACTCTAGTCTGAGTTACATGGGAGACTAGTATGGAGGGAATTTTGTTCCATTATTGTTGAAGGCAAAGAGCACAAATTTTAAAAAATGCAATCCGGAAATAAAACATTCTAAATATAATAAAAGAGATTTGAGAATCAAAAACGTTTTCTAAGAATTTACTTTTTCTCCATATTTAATGTTTTTTTTTGACAATTATTCGATTTTCTTTTTTACAGATCATATACTTTCACTTTTTATTTTTTTTCCCGGTGTTTTTGTTTTTAATTGCATCCTTTTCTTTCCTTTGGAGCGAGGAATGAAGATGCAGTTCTAACTGTCTGCATGGATCTTAGCAACATTGTTTTTGTTGATCAAGAGAAAGCTTTTGTATTGGGCTTCAAGTTCAAGTTCAAATGTTATCTTCATAAAACAATTTAAGAATAATGCCTAAAAGAAAAGAAAAAAAATAGATTTGAAAATAAAAAAAGGGATAAAAACTGAGAAATTGAGAATAAAAATAATAACAATAATAAAAAAAACACAGCAAAGTTAATCTAAAAATTAAGCTTAATTTCTGAAATGCATTTTGCCCTTAAAAATATTTTGCAACAATAATGGAAGAAAATTAACTCCATAGAGTAAAACATATATTAAGAGGTGCTCTCCAGTAATCTGACCAAGCTTGAAGCATTTTGTGAAGGAGAGGGGGAAGAGGTTAAATCTTTATTTATCGAGGATAAACTCCATAGACTCTAAGCAGTAATTGCATAAAAGGCTGCAAAACAAACCAGCGTCTCTGGTGTTGGCATACAAATGTACCACACTACACTTTTGTAAACAATTTTCCCTTCTAAAATTTAGGTATAATGTAATGCAAGACAAAGTGAAAACGTTAAAGGTATATCATGACTTTCAGAAGACAGTATGGAAGTGTTTTCAGCCTTAAGCTTGTGCATCCCTACCATGTGAAAGTGTTAGTTGCACATACATGCAAAAATCTTTAACAGGAAACATCAGCGTCAGCTCAACGAGCAAGCTTTTCAAAAAAACAAAATTCTCCGCTGGCTCATCTCTTTATCCCTCAGGAGCGCATAGCATGTTTTCAGCAGATGACGATGAGGTGATTCAGGCTGCAGCCATCAGTGAACAGGTTGGAATCCAGGGAACCCGGGGTTAAATATTTAAGCAATTTCAGACATGCGGAGAAGCCAAAGCAAGAGGACAATGCAGACAATTGGAACTGGATCCCATGGACTTAGGTTGCCTAATGGGAAAGTGTTCAATTGAAAAAAAAAAACAAAAAACAAAAACAACAGCACACACCTGCAAAGTCATGCAGAAAATGCTTGTTGAGACACAAAGCTCCCTGCACAGCCAACAATGATGCAGCTGGGAGCTATTTTAAGCTTCTGGGATAATATGGACACTGGTCAGGTGCAGGTGTTATTTATATTGCAACTTGGCTTAGAAAAACGTTTTTCAAAGTTTAAACTTAGCATTTTGTCTTTCTAAACCCCTTAAGAAATAAAAAAAAAAACTTATAAAACATGTTTCTTATATTCCTAGCATGTTAAAGGCTAAGCAGAGTTTTCAAAAGCAATGCCGCCTTTCGTTGGAGACATTCCAATTACAAATGACTGTGCAGCATATCCTGCCAACGGCCTCACTGAAGTTAATCTTTGGTTAAAGCTTATTGACCAATAGCCTACACTTACCCAGTGCCGAGCAGGCATTAAGTTGCCTGGCAACCGCTCCATCTGCCAAATCTAGCAGGTACCCAATCAGAACCAGCCAGCATGCCGCGTGATGGTGCCTGAACAAAACAAGGGAGAGTGAAGTTGAGTTGTTTGAAGAGTGCAAGCCCATTTTCCTCCAAAGGTGCCATGTGTGTCAGGCCTGAGAGGTAATTCTGTCAGAAAACTGCCAAATCTGTTAAAAATAGATTTTTCTCATAAGTTATGTGCCATCTAGTAAAAAATGTCTTTATTATTATTTTTTATCAATGCCACCTTGCAACCCCTCCAGCCTTTCCACATTCTTTCACACAGTGAACACGTGAGAGAAGGCTCTGAAATGGGAGCGACATTTTATGAAAGCCAGCAGTGAAGATCACTCTGAACAGAACATACTCTGTTAGACACGGTGGTGGTAGCATCATAATGTGGAGATGCTTTAAGTAAATAACTGGTCAGACTTCAAGATGGAGGAGTAAAATATGAGGCAGTTCAGGAGGAAAACTATTCAAAATCTTTTAAATGGATCCTGGATTAGATGTAACAAAATATTTTATTTGAGAAATATTTATGTTGTATTTAAATACCATATAGTTAAAATGCTGTAGGCTGTTTAGTTTAAAGGTGTAGAGGATGATCTATTATTTCCGGGTGGATCATCTAAATAAGTGGTCCTCCTAATTGTCAATCATTCTGGTGATAAGTTTACATGAGGCCATCCTCCTTGCTCATCCCGTTAGCTATCTTTTTATGCACATTCAGGTGTATATGTGTGGTGAGCTACGGTTTCAGCCAGTCATTGAAGCTCACCTTTCTCACCGCAGTTCTTTTAAAATGGCAGAGGGACGTAAGAGAAAAAGTGTCAATGAAGTGTATGAGAAGAAAAGAAAGGTCCCAGGAGAGACAGATATGTACCGGAATGCTTTGCACTGAGAGCTCTCCTCGCAAAGCATTATGGGATTCGCTGTCATAGCGGCCCGCTGTCGCCATAGGCTGCCGCCACCCAACATCGACGACTAATAACAAAGATGGCGCAGGTACCGCACAGTGGAGGAGGAGTTTTGTGACCAACGAAGCAAAAAGTAGTAATCATCTGTCCGAATGCTAAGTTAACTAAGTTCACTATAAAGTTCACTATTAAGTCCCTGCTCTATATACTGATTGAGGAATTTAGGGTGGACATTCAGACACAGTAAGCCTGTATGGGCTATGAGAACATCAACTTTTAAACAGAGCGTGCACGAGGAGAAATGAGCTTATGCATGCTCTCACACAAGCATTTTTTTTAAGTAGAGAAAAAAAATTTGCGAAAATCTTCCACAGTTAAAAAAAGTAAAATTTAAGTAAAGATTAGACTTAGACAGATTTTTTCATTTTGTATACACAAGTGTAAACAAAAAGAAATTTTGTTAAGTACAGCTCTCTAGACTACGTAATTCTTTAAAGTGGAAACATGTAAGAGGAGGAGAGTTTTGAGTCGGAGGTCGTGGAGGAGTCTCCGACATCATACATTTTTTAATTTAGAGGAGGAAAGCGTGGACAAAGATGTTGTGGAAGAGGACGCCAGGAAGGCTGAAGCTTTGTTTGGTGTAGAAGGCTTACAGCCGTACATGTTTGAGCCCTTGCCTCGCAACGCTGCCAGTTCTGTTAGCTCTACGCCTGCCGAAGGCACAGACGTCCATCCCCGTGAAAACTGGGACGGAACTCAATAGTAAAATAAATAATTCTTATTTCAACTTCTGTGTATATTAGCTGCGACATATGAATCAAGATGCTATGACTGAAAAAATTTTATTGACAGATTACCGTTGATATATGATTGCCCGAATTTAGGTGTACAAGTTGATGTATAACTGGCCTGCATAAAAAAAAAAAAGAAAAAGCACAGATTTTAAGACAGATTTTTTTTTTTTTTCTAGAAATTTTCTAAATTTTGGGAAAATATAGTCTGATAAAGAGTACATTTATATACATGTTTAAGCCAGAATGATTTGACATTCATATATGACTTCCCTACGACTTTAACCTTCCTTTGTTTATTCTGTAGGTTCCAGTTGAGTGAGACGTAACCACGTCATTAGCCCAGCATGCATTGCAAAGAGAAAAAAAAAATGGAAATCCCATGGGTGAAAAATATAGCAAACGATACATAATTGAATTTATTTGATATTTAGGCCAACGTGTTTACTCCTAATACGATAAAAAATGTGAACCTGTATTTGGATTCTCTAATGCTCAGTCTTTTATTTTTCTCCTAGATCATGCGTTCGCTCACCCGTTCAGGCTGCTGAGGATGGAGGCCATGCCCATGACCATGTTGGCCACAGACAGAGCATTAGCAGCGTTTTTCCGCACAAACTCCTTGATCTGGAAGCCTGTGGCATGATCGCTCAGGAGGAGCTTGTTGGCGTACTGGAAGAAATCTGAGAGCAAACAACAGCAGCAGTTAGCATCTGTCCATGTTCAATCAAAAATCCCCCCCACCCCACTGTGATCGGACGAGCACACCAGCTGACCTTCTCAGTTTACTGATTTAATCCCATTCTGATTCAAACTAAGATGGGGTCAGGAGTTCTAAGTCTTCAGTATATCAGTCATTACTTGATAAAAAATAATATACACCAGTTAATCTAATAAAACAGAAATACTAATCCAATACTGAAGGCCCCGCCTGATGTAAAAGAAGTATGACTTACCAAGCTGTTTGCTTATTGGACGGAGTTCAACTTTACGATACATTCATCCATTTTCAGATCAAGAACAAATCTATAATATTTCATGACTTAGTAGATTGTTTACATGTAACAGCAATGTGTGCTTCATTATTTGCAACACAGTAGGAGTGATTTTGTTCCATTTTTGTAAAGACATTTTGCAACTGGAAATTTGAAAAGAATGCAATCCAGAAATGAAACTTAGGTTTCATGAAACATTAATAAAGGTTTTGAAAGTGAATTTAGATTTAAAAAAACAGGCGAAACAAACTGTATTTTTTATATTTCATTATTTCAAATAGAATTCTATCAAAACACTTTTTAGCAGAATTTTTACTTTCAAATGTTATTTTTTTCCAAAGTTTTTTGTTTTGTCTACTGATTTGAAATTTTCAGTGTTATTTTTCAAATTGCTCTTTTGAATTTAATTGATTGAATTATCCAGATTTCTTTTCTGTAAGTGTCTGTGTTCTTAAGTAAAGAACACAGACACATTTCTATTGGTCTGCATGGGGAAAAAATTGAATCATTGTCAATGGGCACGTCAAGAGCAAGAATTTGTTATTGTATAGAGAATTTGATTAATAAAACACTATCTGTAAAACAGTAAAACTGTATAAAATTCTTCGCAAAAACAAAACAAAAAAGATTTTGAAAAAAACTAAATTTGAATTTAAATTTGAACGATTCAAATCTGGAAAAAAAAAAACAATTAAAAAAAAAAAAAAAAAAAAAATAGTAAAAAAAAAAAAAAAAAAGAAAAAAAAGAGAAAATTGCTTTAAATATACATTTTCAAATTTCCATAAAAAATTTGCTTTTTTCAAATTGACATTTACAAACTACGCTATTTGCTTTACAAAAATAAAAAAAATGGGACAAGATAGCCCCCATATAGTTAAAATATCTAGCTTTAGAAATATCTCAATAACATACAGGAAGCGTCATTATGTGTTAACTTGTAGAAAACGAAATCTAGCTATGTTAGCGCTGACAGGTGGTTTTTCTGAGGGATCAAATGCTGATGTGAGGGACGAGCTAACATTTAGAGGGTCACTGCATCACTGGGCTACTTTCACAGGGAGCTGGACCTACTGCACTGACACAAAGCAGACGAGATCGATTAGCCTGTTAACATTGACCTAACAAGAGCAGTGCTTACGTAACTGACTGATTGTTGGGATCAATTAATAGCAATTGGACTTGAGCTTTAATGGAAGGGAGTGACATTGGGGTGGAAAAATCCAGGACTGTGGAAAAAAGATTCAAATCCTCCTGTTATTCTATTTATTCTTTTATTGTCTCTCTGCTTGATAGAAATTTGGTAAAGCTACACTGGTAAGGGTCATTTTCATAAACGGAGAATTTATTATAAATAATAAAATCTCTTGTAGACGTGCAAAGGAAAACGACATACCATAAATAAAACAACATTTTTTTCAGGCCTAAAGAGATGTTTTCTGACTGCGATCTTTTAAATAGATGGGTTGATTCTTATCTTAGAAAAAGATGGTGTAAGCACTAATGTCTAAGATCTTCTACACTGGAAGAGAAACGTCAATTCGATTTTTAAGTGTGAAAGAATAAAAAACAACCCTAGGCTGAGGGAGGAGGAGTTGTGATTGTTATGTCCTTATTGTTAACAGTAAATGCAATAAAACGACTCTCTCAGTAACTCTAAACTAATTAAACTAAACAAAAAGACTTAACGACAGACACAAAGGTCCAGACAATAGTGAAATCAATGCTTTTATGTCTTATTAAAAACAAGAGAACAGAGACGAGACAGCCTGTGTGCCCTCTCTGGAGCTAAGGAACCATGCCGGTAGATCGGAGGAGAAAAAACGCAGGTTGGAGGAGCTTGCTGGGCAGACAGAGCACGATAGTGAGGGAGGGAGGGCGGCTTGCTGGTGCTATCTCAGGAGGACAGCGGAGGGACACAGATCAGAGAAGCATGGCATTAAACAGAGCGCTGAAATGGTGTGAAAGGGGGCGTCTGCCTGGGAGGACAGTGGTACATCAGAGAAGCCGGCCGGGGAGATGGAACAGGAAGAAGCATCGGCTGGCCGGAGCTAGCCTCAAGGGGCTAACTGTGGGAGATTGAAGGAGTACAGTGGAAGATCAGAGGAGCCTGCCGGGCGGACAGAGGAGGGGGAGAGAAGGCGGTGGCAGACTGGGGTCTGGGTTGGATGTAGGATGACAAAACAGTCCTTCTAGGAGTAAAATAAAACAGCTTTTTTAAAAGCCACCCAACAAAATCTCTTAAGAACATTTCCCGTTTCATACTTTGTAAACATTTTTTGTGATTTCAATTATTATTAAAATGAATCCATGTCTCCTCTTTTACGGTGGGACTTCACCACCAAGGCCGAGCATCAACTATGCAGAACGGGGTGTCCCGAATCCAATGGAAAATTACGAAGCTCTAACAGTTGTGGTTTCAATTGAAGCGAGTGTTGGTAGTGAGTGAGGGCCTATGGTTGTTAGTAGCAAATACTAAGCTTAAAAATGAATACATTGTAAAATAAAACAAATGATCGAACATCAATTTTAATGTAAAAGTACAAGAAAATCGTCTTTAACAAGAAATGAAGGCTCACTGGCTGTATTACTATCGAACAGGCCGATAATTTATTTCTCCAACTCACTTTTTTAGACAACATCTCTCCTGAGATCCTTCTTTTTTAAATGATCAAGTAAACCATTTGTTTATGAACTGATATTGGTACCAGAGGTGAAGAGGTGTTACTTTGAAAATGCTTGGTTATATCCCTACACGCTTTTTACTTTTTTATGATATAAAAAAGACAGTTTCTTCTAAATAATAAAAATTAGGTATATCCTTAATGTACCTTTCCTCACATTCATTTTTAATACATATGAGTCTAGAAAAGCATGAAATCAGGAGGAGAATGAATACCTTTCTTCCACAGTAGTTATTAATAACAGGTCATGTTAGAATTTGATTAGAATTTGGGAATTAGTCTATTTAATATTATTGTTAGAAACTTAAAAACTTGCTCAGGTTGCCTCACTCCAGCCATTTTTCATGAAATTTGTTTCCTTGTTTCAAAGCTAATTGTTTTATCTTAAGTCATGTTTTTTTTCCTAAAGCAATATGCACAGATATTAACCTGTAATTTTTTTTATTTCATTAATTTTTTTAGTTGCAGTAGCAACCTTTCACGAGATTTTCTCCCTGAACTTCCTTTGATTCCAAAGCCAGGCGAATGCATCTGAAAGAAAACATCGTATGAGACAAAGCACAAAGCCAAAAAACAAACGTTCACTTGACAGCATGCGTTTTTCTCTCCACTATTTCATGCTGGACTTTATCTAAAAGTTATCACCTGGCATGTCAAAATAACATAACAACACACTGCTTTTAAGATGTCTTAATATTATATCTTTTGACTTTAAACATAGTAAACACCATTAGAGAGCAACACACGTGTGTGAGAGTCTGTGGGGGATATTGTGATCTCTTGGCTGGTAATTAAAAGAAAAAAGATAAATCCAGAGCCAAACACTGTCAATTTGAAGCAGGTCTCTATTTGTGGATTCCAGTCTAATGAGTGCAAAGCATGATGGGAAGGACCATGTTATGTAATCCCTTTCCATGTTACCAGGTAACGGCTAAAGAGAGCACATGGAAAAACAATGAAAACTCTCAAGTCAGGGTGCAGACCCAGAATAAAGAGAAATAAACTTACTGAGGTAACTCAGCTGACTACCCTTTGATATTAAACTGCTTTAAAAACACATCTAAGACATTAACTGACTGACGGTTAAGATATTTAGCTTTAATAACATAGCATTTTGTAGCTTGGAAATATAAAAACTGTCAACAAAATCTGCTCATTTCACATACATGAACAAAAAATTATGTGGAAAATGCTAAACTAGCATCTTTTGTACAAAATTTTAATAATCATGTATGAAACAGAGAGTATATATATGGAATAGGATAACTATTGATAAAAAAATCTAAATGTATAAATGTAAGTCAATAAAACCTGTATATCATATGTTTCATTGTGCGAATGCAAGTTATAAAGGTAAAGTAGAACTCGGCCACAATACAAGGAAACAAGCACAAAAAAGGAACAAATTTACCTGTATCAACAAAAATGTCTGAGTGTGAAAGTTTCTCAGTACAAATCGCAGATTTATGAGGACCAAGAACACATTTAAAAATACAAATTTAGAAGAATTAATTAATAATTATATATGAGATCTAAAAATTCATGAGAAGTATTGACTACAAACAACAAATGCATGATAAGAACTTAACAATGTAGAAGAAGGAATCATATATTTACCGCCGGTGCGAATTAAAAATTTACAAGTAAAAATCACAAATTCCGAAACCACAAACTTAAGAGAATCACATGAAAAAATATTTTGCAATCGTACTTCGGATTTTCCGACATGTGGTGGCGACGTCTGAACTTGTATTCCGACAGAGGAAACATGTGATGTCACATGATTAACAACACAGAACAAATACATATGTTAAATCTATACAGTGTTATTGACTTACATTTACAAATTCAGAAACCTACACGTCTTTATTGGCAGTTATCTTACTCCATACATATAGGATCAAATTTATTATTCAGGTGTATGTCAGTAAATTAGGATATCATAAAAACTTTCTTTGCTTCAATATTTAAATTCAAAAGACAAAATAAAATACAGTATTATAAATTACACACAAGGGAATATTTTAAGGATAATTCTGATGATTACTGCTAACAGCTAATGGAAGCCTCTGATTCAGCTTCTCGGAAATATTGAACTTTAATTTAGATTTATTTTATGTGGATAATATTTCACGGTAAAAATAATCGCCCAAATGACTTAACTTTTATCCAGCAGACATCCTGCACCAGGGTGTTAGCCATAAAGGGTCTTTGCAAGTTGACCCTGGATACTGAGAGTGGAATAAATATCAATGGTTGAGGGGAAAGGAGGAGTGTTGGACAAAATGTGGAACAAGAAACGATAAAAGGTACAGTCAATTAGAGCTTTAAGAACCACCATAAATGGGTTTAACTGCTCCATCCCCTAAGTTTAGCCTCTCGTGAACTAGAGATGATGAACTCAGCTGTTTATCGGTACAAAAAGTTCATTTCATTTAGAAATCAAGGTCCCGGAGTCTGGAGGAAGAACATAGAGCATATTATTAGTTTAATATCCTATTACTGGTCCTGATAAGATATTTCAGAGTGATGCTTCTCTGTGCAGAAAAGCTTTTTATAGAGATACTGATACTGATGCTGTAGAGTATTCAAATCCAAAGAGCCATTTTACATCGAGCCCAGCAAAATAAAAGTCCTTTAGGGCCGTAAAAAAAAAATCACATGACCTTTCAATAAAACACAACTTATTATTTTTTATCAAATATCTGCTTAAGGAAATCTGTTGCATTTTATTAACAACAAAGAGTTTATTAGTATTATTAGTTCTTTACCCTATTATACCAAATGTGTCATATTTGAGCTTTTGAGACATCTTCAACGTGATATTTTTGTTTTAGAAAAACCTGATTTATACAATCGAACAGAAAAGGAAAATTAAAAAAATAAATGACAGTGAAATGCATAATGTGTGACAAAAGATACAAATAATTTCTCCAATTTTAATTATTCAAAATGAATACTGTTATTTTTAATTAATAATGATAATAATTGTAAATTATTAAATGTAATAACTATTAGAATGAGGACAAAACATAATGTCTCTTTAAGGGGAAATATTGACTTCCTCTCTAGGGATATTATTTTATTTAAAAAATAAATGAAAAAAAAAAATAATTTGCAGCCTAATGACAAGAAATATTGTTCTAGAAAACATAATGATGGTTTTCTAAGCCAAACCCCTTTGATAATCAATGGTTTTCATGCAGAGGTGGGATAAATTCACTCAGTTACTTTTAGTTAAGTAACTTCTTGGGACAAATGTACTTCAACGAGTAGTTTTCCTGCATTGTTCTATTTACTTTTACTTGACTAATAAATATGAAAAAAATATCAGTTCTCTTACTTGGGTAAAATGTCTGGCTACTCGACCCATCCTGAGTTACTTCCCTTTATGAATAACAGGCAAGTTTTAAACAAAAACACACCAGAAAGACAAACCTACAGTACGCTTCTGTTTAGTTCTCCAGCCTTCAGCTGTTTTAATGTTATTTTCTTTCTGCTGATCCTGTCCTGTCATTTGGAGGTCAAATGGGAATACAGGTCACTGTGTCATGTTGCAGGAAGTAACCTGCCCTATTCCAACCTATATAGCCTACATAACATACTATCAATAATGACCTCAGAGATTTATAGTAAACAATATCTTCCATCCGCAATTGATGTTCAAGTTTGTTATTTATATAAAATTGAATATCCAATTTTCTAAATTTAGCAGATAAATGTTCATGTTTTAATCATTTTTAGTACATCAAATCAGATGTTATAATCAGTTACTCAGCACATGAGTGGCCTTTTCACCAAATACTTTTTTTACTCTCACTTGAGTGATTTATTGGATCAATACATTCTACTTATACTTGAATATAAAATATAATTAAGAAATTCTACTTTTACTTAGGTACAATTTTTAGGTAATCTACCCACTTCTGTGTACTTATATGTTCAAAAGGAAGATGAAATGCACCAGAGGCAATATTTCAGAGAGGTTGGAGGCTATAATTAATCGTACACCTCCATGCCACTAATGTATAAAATATGTTACTTAATTGTTGTACAATATAGCATAGGAGCAAAACTTTTTGTGTTTATAAAAAATAAATTGATTTGGGCGATTTAATCTCCTTCAGCCCCGAACTGTCATGATCAAGGATCCACTGAAATACAGGAGTTGCATGTTTTTAATAGATTCACTTTTTATGATCTTTCTAATTTATTGAGCTACACCTGATGACTTTATGTTTGCATGTCTGATTGTTTTAATGTTCTCCTATAGCCATTTTAAAAAAAATCCTATAATTGCACATGAGGGGCTGCTGCTTCTCTGTCAGGTTCATATGTAATAATTCACTGTGAAATGAGACTGAGAATAGAGCACATACCAGAGGAAGCTGTCAGGAGGATCATGGTTCACAATTAAGCAGCTGGGGAACAAAAAACAAAGATTTTAACTCTATAAAAGCATTTCTTAGCAACAAACAGGTCAGGAAATCAATTAACAAAAGTGATTTAAATGCATAAACAGCTAAATTTCTGTCATTTAATAGAAAGTGAAGGTTTAGAAAAGTGTGTTGAGCTCTGAAAAGTTGGTGTCTGATGATGAGCAAATCAAAGCAAGTTTCCTTATTTATGTTGTTTTATTGTATTTTTTTTTAAATAAAAATCATCCCAGAAGAATTATAAAAATTAGTGTAAAAAAAGTTTAAAAAACGAACTGAAGGAGGAGGAAACAGACGCTTCTATATATATTTGCCTTGAAAGAAAAGATCAGATAAAAAAATAAAATAAAAAATTATATAGAGAATTATGTAAAGTGTTTCTTATCTTACCTGAAAGGAGATCCACAGATTCCTTAAGTTACTTAAATGAAATGACGGAGTTTTAAAAACTAACACTAATATCTACCAAGATTTGTTATTATAGATATTCTTTTTCTTTCCCCCTTTTCTCTTTTATAAATGTAGAACAATTTCCGTTTGATATTCTCTTTTTTTTGTGCGTCTGTATCCGTCAGGAAGCAGTGGATCCTTCCGCAGATCACCTGTGTGGGTTTGATGCGCGCTGCTGAAGTGCGTCGTTTTAAAGGAGCGGCAGAGACAAATCCGCTGGAATATTCCGAGCGGAAATGACGCAAGCAACGCTTCTAGTTTTTTCTAAAGCATATGAACTGGATGGACATATGTATAGGCAGGAAAACCTGATATTAAATCAGATTAAGTATCACACATAATAACTGTTAAAAAATAAAATAAATCAAGGGCAGAGATATATTTTTTTTGTTTTAAAGAAATAATCAGATGAAGATATTTTTTTGATTGTTAGTTGTCAGAAAGAGTCCTCAACAAATTTGATTCATCCCTTCTAATTTTCACTTTGAAAATGCAGCATTTATTCTTAAAAAAAAAAAAAATAAATGGAAGAAATATGCAAACAAAACTGGAACAACCAGGCATACTGGTGCTGTGTGGGATCAACCTATGGCTAATAAGTTGCTGTAAATAAAATTCTTTGTTGCTGTAAATAAACTTCTATATAGTAGGAAATTGTAAAGAAGTACAGCACCTTGTCATAATTATTTTATGGTAACAGTACTGTATATGACTGACAGTAAATGTACGGCAGCTATTAGCCAGGAATTTCATGTAAAATTACAAGAAATATCTAACAGTGTACTGTATTTTGTTGCAAATAAGTATATTGGCAATATAATGTGATTATTATAATATGACTTGAGAATCACCAGTTCCCTTCCATTTATGGTCTGAGGAGTGTCCATATTCATCATGTTTAACTTCCTTTACTGCTGAGATATTAATTGCTATTGCTCTGTAGTCGTTTAGCTGTAAGTTTTTATGTTCTTAATGGTTTCTGAAAGGGTTTCTGCAGTCAACATTATGTTTTATTTCATGATGGTATGTTTCATTAAAATATGTGCAACTCTTATGATATCTATTAAATCAATGCAGATTGATACAGTATGCTTTGTGGACAACTTATTTTATTTGCATGGATATAAAGCTTGAGTTGTTGCTTAAGTGATACAAATTACAAACTTTAAAACTCTTCCCTTAAAATTGACTCTGTCCACTGAACTTTCTGTGATAATAAACCTATTCAAAGATCCTTTAAATATTTGTTTTGCTCTGTATAAGATAAAACTGATGTACATAAAAAAAACAGCAAACCCTAAAGCTGCTGCTTTTTTATGCTTTAATGATTAACTTTTTAAAGCTTTAAAGTTAAACTATCTTGAGACGCTATTGTTTAGTTTGTCCAACATAAGGCTGCTCGTCTATGAATGAATGCGTCACTGCTGGTGCTTACAGTTAAAACAGAAGTCCCTGTTTTGTTTGCATTAACTTCCACACTGCTTGACTCTGGAAATTTACTGCACTTGTTAACAATATGTCTTAAATTAATGTGTTTTTATCGACATTTTGTACAAAAACAATTGTGTTTGCAGTAAATATTAAACTGGTTTTATTAAAAAAAGTAAACCCTAAAGACATGTTTGTTACTATGATTAAGCAAAAGTCCAACAGATTTTATTTCAGAATGTTTCTCTGAGCAGAATAACTTTTATTTTGTATTTTTCCTTCAAATAAATGTAATAATATAAAGCATAGTAAGGTCATTAGACTGACCTCTATATTAACAAATAACATTCTAAGACACTTTAGCAGATTTTTATTAAGAACATTAGAATTGAATAGTCACAACAGAAAAACTTTAAAGAGCCCCAAATATGTTTTTTTTTTAGAACTCTAATTATTGTTTTTTGCTTGACAAGTTTATGTTTACTTTTTACATGAAATGACAAAGAAGAAAATCCATACTTCCTCTTAATTAAATGTTTGTTTTGTCCTTATTTTTAGCCTGTAAAGCTTAAAACATGCAATAATTGTCAGATTGTTTTAATTTTTCTAAACTAGCCACCATAAAACATTCTGGTAAATGGGAAAAAAATATACATTTTGGATTATTAAAATTAGAGATGTTGTAGGTGTAATTTGTGATACATCTGGCATTTCTATGTGTTTTAATATGGATTTTCTGTTCACTATTTATGTATGAATATGATATCCTTTTTTTATCAACAAAAACTATATACTATATTTTGGTGTTACAGGATTAAAATCTAAAAATAAAAATACACTTGTTTTTGTTTAAAATGGCAACAGATTTACGTTTGTAGATATTTGACAAAATCTTTTTATTATTCTAAAAATTGTCTGTTAGATCTACAGCAGGCAGCATTTAGTGGGATTTTCCTATTTTCGTGTTGCTAACTACTATTAGAAATACAAGCCAACAGAAGAAGGAAATCAGTAAAAAAGAAAATAATAATAGAAAATAATCTTACTGACCAGAAGTGCTTGGTTAGAATAGAATAGAGTAGAATAGAATAGAATAGAATAGAATAGAATAGAATAGAATAGAATAGAATAGAATAGAATAGAAAATCCCTTTATTGCCCCACAATAGGGAAACTCTGTTTTTTACAGCAGCAAAGAGATTATCGAAAAAATGTTCACACGAATATGGACCTTAGAAAAAATGTATAAGAATAACATAATAGTGAAGAGTTACAAGATAAACAATAAAATACTATACTGTAAAGTTTTTTAACCACATAAAAACTGTGCACCCAGAATACATAACCAATATATATACAGCTGTGGACATATTTACAGTAATTGATAATTGAAAATAACAGCAACATCAGAGATGTACAAAATGACAGCAGAATGTTATTTAACTGACTAAGGTAGAAACTGTAAAAGAGTTAGCAAGAATTTAACAACTCATTGAGGTAGTTTGGAACAGGGATTGTTTTAAAGTCTTGCAGCTGCTGGGAGGAAGGATCTGTAATAATGCTCCCTGGTGCATTTAGGGTACAGCAGTCTGTCACTGAAGCTCTGCAAAAGCTCTCCAGTTCTGCAACAGCTTCATGCATGGGGTGGGAATCGTTATCCAACAGAGATGTTCATTTATTTAGGATCCTTTTGTTTCCCACCTCCTGCACTGAGTCCAGAGGACAGCCAATCACAGAGCTGGCCTTCCTGATCAAATTATCCAGCTGCTTTCTCTCAGCTACAGATAAGCCACTGCTCCAACAGACATCTCCCTGGAAGATGGTTGATGCCACAACAGTCATAGAAGGTATTTAGGAGCGCCCCCTGCACTCCAAAGACCTCAGACTCCTCAACAGGAAGAGTCTGCTCTGACCTTTCACAGTTTTGTGAGTCCAGTCCTGTTTGTTATTCAGATGGACACCTAGGTACTTATAAGAGTCCACTATCTCAATGTCTGTTCCCTGGATGTTCACCGCTGTCAGTCGGGTGGATCTGCTTCTGTGAGAGAAACATTGCAACTACATGATCATATTTAAAATATCTTAGAGATGGAGCTATAAAAGGTTTGACACTACATCACGTGTTAAATTAACTACTTTCTTGGGAAGCGCTCCTCCTAAAATTTGATCACCACTGTAAGGCTAATCACATCTTTCTTTGTGACTTTTTGTTTTCAGTTTGTTCACTTCTCTGACTTTTGCTCCACCTACATTTTTTTTTATTTCTTTAACACTTTTAAAGGGCTCCATTTACTACTCCTTCACTCATTCTTTACTTTCAACATGACTGCATTGAACTTTCTTATCATCTACGTTGTTGGTTCTGATCTCTTCTCCTTGTTTGTTATATTTCCGCAGTGAGCCAAAGGAGCTCCACTGTGTAAAACTTTGACCCTTCAACCATTACCTTCCATTAAAACTTCTCCCCTTGCAAGGGTCAAGTAGAGGTGAACAGGAAGTGAAGCATCAGATTCAAGTGCCTCCATGGGAAATACAAGATCCTCGCTGTAAAGCAGTGATAAGAATAGTATAAAGCTGATCAAGTCATTAGTGATAACATTGATATTATTATTATTATTATTATTATATTGAGAGGTGGGAAGGTTATCTTAATAGGTACATTAGGAAGGTGGAAGCAGCTGATTGGCTTCTTGAACAACGTTACGATTTTAATTTAACAGAGCATTAGCTAGTTTGAGTTTAAAAATAATTAAATATTATATTTTATTTCATTGCTGGATTCAAGCTTTATCTTATATGATTTGGCAGCACAATGTGTTGCCTTTAAAAACCAAGTCCAGTAAGATTTTACTATGGCAACTGTTACTCAGCCGTTTTGACATTTAGGCGCAAGCAGCTTCCACCTTCTGCTTTGTTTTGAAATGAGTCTGCAGGAAAAGCATAAATAAGGGAGAAATGATTGTAAGGATATAATGAAAAACAGAAAATAAACTAAATTTGGTTGGTTAACCAGTGGAAGAAAAACTGAAATATGAGAATGAGAAAAATAAGCAGGATGAAATTAGAGATAAAGAGGAAAGGCTGAAAGCTGAGAAATTATAATAAGTTATGAGAAGTGGTTAGTAAAGAGTGAAAAGATAAGAGGTTATGTTTAATGGCTAGTAGAGGATGAGGAAAATAAATGGATATGAAGAGAGATGGAGAATTTACTTATTAAAGGTTTAAACCTTAAATCGTTTTCCGTTAGTCTCTTCTGTTTAAACATTCAGTATAAAATGGAGACTATCAGACATCAATGCAATTAGCTGGATTTTAATCCAATAAAATGAATAAATAATACCTAGTGGTGAAATTGATCTGAGTAACTTAGAAAACTAAGGTTATTATAAAAAGCCTAACACAGTAATGTGGTGTAAATAGAGGAAATCTCACAAGATCACAAATAACACATGAAATTTGTTTTTATTTAGGAAACAGAAAGGGAACGGGAGAGGGTTCCCAACATGGGTTCTGAAACATTCAGATCATAATCACATCAAGATTGCTTTCCGGTAACTTCGTCAAGTCAGAATTCTGTTTTTTTTTTTTAAGTAAAGAAAACCAACCTACGGTAAATAAGATCCAACTGGATCTTTCAACAGTAATAATGCTGAAATAAAAATACAAACAGAAGGAAAAAAAAAAAACAGGAAGTTTTCTTGACAAATATGCATTGATTTGCATTTTAAGTGATAATCCGGTTTAAAGTCAGACACTTTTGCTTTTATTTCTTCACCAGTTTTGTGATTTAATGCATTTAAAACCTAAGACTCTTTTTTTTTTCTTTTAAACACTAAGACCATTTTCATCCACTTGATGAGGAAGAAGCTATGCTGTTCCTGGGCATTTTGAAACGATGTCATTAAATGTTGCAGGGGGTATCAACAATATCAAATAATCAATCAATGAAAGCAAGTGAAAAAAAAGCATGAAAGTAGAGCAAATTTCATGAAATAAATAAACTGAAGTGAAAAGATGCTCATTTTAGGATTATCAAAACAAAAAGTTTCAGCTAACAGACAATAAAAAAAAAAAGATTTACCAAACCAAAAATTATTGTGTCAATATGGTTTTCCATGTGACTAGAAAAAAACAAACAAAAAAAAGTTGCGAGCATGCTTATCAGAGCTACCCTACAGATCACAGCCCCCTGCAGGAGGTTTCCTCTGACCAAACATGAATCCAGCTGTGAGCTGCTGTAGATGAATCTATTTCTGCAGATAAAATAAACCATAGAACCTTCATAGAACTTTAGTTTTCCATGTTAAATCTAAAGCTACTTTAGGTCAAAAACCTGAGGCATCCGGTTCTGGATATGAAAACTGACACATACTCCCACCTGGCTTAAAGTAGATTAGGAAAAGTTAAAACCATTTTGTCTTTGAGTCTGACATGATTATCTACCTGACTGGCAGATAGCTAAACACATAAAATCAACTATTCAACAACCACACATAAAAAATAAAATACACCTTTATTTTAGTTTTTTTAATTTGCTTTGAGATCTACTCAATCACAGAAGTGGTAGCAACAAACCATGCCGCATCGTGGTTCGATGTCAAATTCCATGCATATTGTTAAAAAAAAATAAAAAGTCAACAACTAAAATCTTTTAAGCCACAAATAAAGCCGAATCACTAGAAAAAAAATACTCTACACATGACAGACGCACACTTTTGCATCTTCAGGTCTGAAAATTAGCACCGAGTTTTATTTATAAAAACAAAAAGCACAGAAAAAGAAGACATAAAAAAAGGTAGTGTGAATTCAATAAAAGTGAAAAATGGTGATAATAAAAAAAGAAATAATCAGTCAAACTTGTAACGGTTATTTGATTGTATTTGGCAGCCTGAGTTGTGAACTGGAGTTGCCTGTGACGGTGACCATGTGTGCTCGTCTCCCAACAGTTTGCCAAGCATGCTCGCAGATAAAGCTTTCTCTACAGAAGTGAAGGAAAAAAATGAAAAATAAAAAGGCCTACATATTTTCAAGTAACAGTAGAGTTAGGCCTACAAAAAGCCGCTGACACACACACAGTATAGGAACCCAGAAAAAAAAAAAAAAAACAATTCTAGGAAAGATAAAGCAGTTGTAATGTTAGTTTGTATGTTTTTCCCCACAAATATTATATATTTGTATATAAATTAAAAATAAATCAGTGCTGTCAAAATATCTCCATCTCCATAGGATCTGACCCATCTTAGAAGAGCTAATAAGCTTTACTATTAATCTTCTGCTGGCTAAAAGTACTGCTGGAAGTATGAAACCCTTACTATTTATCCTTTATCAGTCCTTCATTCTGGTTACAACACTGAGGCAGAGAAGACTTGTTAATATTTTTAAAACCGTATTTTTTTGTTTTTGGTTTTGCTTCACATAAAGAAAAGCATCAGATGTGTTTTGTTTTCTTTTATTTTGCTTTTTGGTAGCAGCAAAGCACCGAGTTTGTCTCAGGGTGTTAAGTCTTTCTGAGGGAGTCTTGCTGTGTGTGAAATCACATGTATGTCTATGAGTAGCAGGGCTGAACATCGACGCTGTGGGAAATGTAAGGCTGCAAATCGATCGCCTGGGTTTGCTGGGCTTCTGGCCGAGTGTTCGTCAGCGTCAGGTTCCGAATGCAGCCTGTTATTCCTGTGGAAAACTTTCCTCCTGTCATGGCAGCCATGTCTGGGGCCCCACCTGTGCAAGACAACGGGCATAAAACAGAGCTTTAGAAGTACATAGGGACACCTCTTACCTACGAAAGACACCTTTAAAAATGGCCTCCCTGAAACAGATTTAATTCAACTTTTATTAAAGGGCGCAAGATCCATGGCTCTCAAAATAACATAGATTTTTTTGTTATAAGCATGGATAAGTCTGTCAGTAGACAACTCACTTTAAGATTCCTAAAAACGTGACAGAAAAATAGGAAACAAAACCATCATGGCCAAAATATAATGAAAAATAACTTTGTGAAATGTTGTTCTGACATAATTTGACTGTTAGGATTCCAGTTTGTGTGGGTTGTTTTTTGTGTTTTCCTCTCTCCACCACCAGGCGGTGCCCTGTCCTCGTTGGACCTCCCTGCACATCTGCGGCTTGTTGGGTCATTACCAGAGGAGTACTTGAGCAGCGGGCTGTCACAACTCAACACCAGAGTGTTTGCCAGTATTAGGTAGTCTAGCTAAACTGAGATTAGCAGTCTAACCGTGGCATTGTTTCTCTGAGTCTGAACTTGCTTTTTGTCTTTGTTCTTCGGCAGGAAGACTTCCTGCGTAACTGGATAAGCCTGGACCTTCTACCCCTGGAAGGATTTACTGAGTCTCACTGAGCAAGGGGAAAACCTCCACATGATCCGTTCAAGTCCACTCCTGGAAAACCAAGTGATAGTCCACTCCTTTACTCCTCTGGGTCCAACGTATGTCTGCCTGTCCACTGTCCAACAAGTTCCCTCTTCTCTGGATTAAACCCCCACAGTCTGGATCCAAGGATAAACCAAGAGCCCCCCCCAAAGTGAGTGCCTCTCCAGCAATATTCAACCTCAGTCTATTTTCCCACTGTCCCTGAACTGATCACTGTGATCTCCCCTTTAGAGTTTCTGGTTCTGGTTCACCAGTCCACTGAGTTCCAGCATTGTTTCCCCACAGAGTTTCATCTCCATCAGTGTTTGCAAACCTACAATAAACCTGTTAAATTTTTACCCTTGGTCTCTGAGTGGTTCTCTGCATGTGGGTCTGATTTTCAAAGCCCATTATGACATTGACATGTGAAGAACAAAACATCCATATTGGTGAACCTGTGAATGAATAATGGCAGGTTTGCTCACCCAGGTATATGTTGCCCTTGGTGTTAACCATGAGGCTTTCCCCTTTAGACTTTCCATGCTGGGTCTCTCCTCCATCAATTCGCACAGAACCATTTTTTCCATCTCTGAGAGGAATGAGAAAGACACACTTTTTTAATACCAAAAATATAGGCTGGAAAAACACAGCTTTATCTAAGCATGAAACTCATGATGAGAAATTATTTTGTTAAAAGGAGGTTATGATAATAAGGCCCTATCCAGATACAGACACTAAACCTTACACCCCTTCGTAAAGTACGTATTTGCTTCAAGTGAGCAGGTTAGAAGGGCGTAAATTTGGAGAAGTGGGACACAGTAATAAACATTAAAAAGAAATGAACCAACTTTAGTTTTACTGCTTTTCTTCCTACTTGTTAAAATACTTTTTCTTAGATGTTGTGGAACTAGCATTTTTCCTCCAGGAACATCCAGTGAAACTGAAAACCAACCTGACTGCTGTGATCTTGTGCCACTTTCCATCATGGATGGCTTTTGTTGATCTTATTCTCCCTTCTCCACTGCCCAGCTGGTAACTAGACATCATAAAAAATAGTCATCAATTGTGTAAATCAGCAGTGGACATAAAGTGTTTTTTTTAAATATATCAGTTAGAGGTCAACAGGGCAAGAGGATAAAGGTTCAGAATCACCTGAAAACCAGGTGTCCGTCCTCTAGACCCAGGCTGATGAAATCTTTTCCTCTACCATTTTCTCCAGGTACCTAAAAACAAAAGTGTAGATAATTTGTGTACTTATTCAGTACCATGAACTTCTGGCCCCTGACTTATAGTAACTTTCCACATTTAGGGCTGCACTGAACAAGCATGATGCAATCTGTTTGGGGGATATTCCAACCAAAGTTCAATGTGACACAAAATCTGTCATGAAAAACAACATTGGCTATAAGAAAAACAGGCATAAATCCACCCAGTCCTCATTTATTCATACTTTCTAACCTGAAGTGCAAATTAAAAGTCCAACAAAAGTATTCAGAGATCCTAAAACTTTCCATAATTTGTCATTTTACAACCTCAAACTTGAACATATCTTGGGTGTATTTTTGGAGCAATGCACAGCTGTGAAGGAATGAAGTAATAAAGTAAAGTGAAGTAAACATTTTACTCTGGCTGCAAGTTTTGAGTCGATATTCTGCTTCATTTAGTGCAACCACCATTTTTCATTTAATTGGATCTGCAGTTTTTCTTTTTCACACAGCATAAGTACCAATTGTATAGTATCATAAGCACTGACCAAGACCAGAGGGTTTTTCCCATTCTTCTCAAATTTCTCTCCTGTTTCTCTTCTCTTCTGCCTCACAATGAGCATTGTGCAAGTTCTCTATATTCTCCTACACTTCTCTCTTTTCCAGATCTCAGCTAAGAGATTTTTGGGATTTTATCAACATTTTATTTAAACAATTCAATCATTTATTGATGTAAAACAGAGTTAGCTAAAAATCACTATTAAGGTAAAAAACAATTGTCAGCTAAAAAAAAAAATCATTAAATATGGAGCTTGTTAAATTGTAGTTGTCCTTCATCTGACACAGTACCTAACATTTTTTAAAACCCCACAGCTGAATAAAATCCTCTATGTTCTGTGAGAACAATGACACATATTTTGCTGATTGTCTCAATATGTCTTAATTTAAAGAAAAAGAATAAGTAATAAATAAATAAAGTTGAAGAATATAACGGACAATAAATAAATAAGGCAATTATTACCAAGGCAAATAAATAAAGAAGCTTATCAAAAAGAGAATATACATTTACGTCTCACTGTATAATTTAACTTCTACCTACATTTATTTGTTTTTTGTATTTTTGGGGGCAATAAATTGTACGCTTATTTATTTATTGAGCATTTATTTATTTATGTATTTATTTTTAAATATGGCAGAGTTGGTCCTCCATAGATACAGATATATTGACAGCGACATGCACCTCCTACAGTACAACTTTGTGTTGGTCTAAAGTATAAAATCCCAATAAATTAAGATTTTTATGGTTGTAATATGACAAAATATGGAATAATATTGTACCTCTAGAGGTAAGTCTATAACACATAACTATAAAAACCACGACATGTCTTGTGTTTGAGTGGATACCTTTTTGATAGCATGCACCTTTCGCAAATTTCGTGCACCTTTGGTCTCCTGAGGGAAATGGAGGGCGAGTTAATAGAAGCACATGCATGTATTTAGTGGTGTAAGACAGAGCTATTGATCTCAGCCAGCATGCCCAACAATGTCAGCAGCAGTACAGATTTCACATTACGATGATGACAGAATGATATTCATAGAAAAATAAAACAGAATGCAAATGCAACATTTCAGCAGTGAAGCAAAGAAAACTGGCAAAAAAAGTTATGAAAAATAAAATCAACGTGAGATTAACATTGTTAACGAGTTAGCCATGGTGATTAACAGTGCAGGGTTTGTTTTTTTTTGTTTTATAGGATATGTTAGAGGCTGTGGAGATTCTATGAGAATGGTCATACTGGTCAGAACTTACCACTCCCTGCCACAGGATCAGGCCCTCGGAGGAGCTGGTGTTAATTTCCATTTCTATTGTCTCTTTGTTATGGACACTATAACAGATTAGACAACGATAAGAAATTAAATCATATGCAAAAAAAAACTTACATTATAAAAGAAAGCGTGCAGAAATAAGCTGAAATAAAGTTACCTTCTTGGGAGAACTGATTTAGGAATTTCAATGTAGCCGTCATTTTGGAAACGTGCTGCGTACTCATGGGGGGAATCTACAAAAAAACAAAAAGGTGGAAAAAATAATATAAGTCAATGCTTAATCCATTACAATGGTTCTGACTCCCTCTTGTGGAGAAAGAAAAGAGAATTCAAAGTTTTGGTTGGTTTTCATAGATTCAACGTTTAAAGCCAAACATACAGTAGAAATCCCTTTACATTGAGAACTGTCTGTGTTAATAATACTTAGGTTCAAACTGTGCCACTTTTTAGAACACAAATTACATGTTATACCTGATACAAATAGAGACTTAAATGATTTTTTTCATTTTGTTAATATTTTATAGTACATTTGGAGGTAGATTTAGAGTTTAAGTACATTTTAGTAACAGAGTAGGTAGGAAGGTATTTCTGTTTTAATAAGTTACAATCAAAGCCATTTAAGTCATTCAATAACAATCCTCAGTTTAAGTTTAGATGCAAAATCTAATTCCAGATACTGTGTAAAAAAGCTGCATGATACAGATAGTAAAAACCAGCATATGATCACAATTCATAAGCGTTCATAGCATCTTAGACCTCTCACTAAGTATTTATCACTTGGCTACAAGATTTTATACTGACGGAAACCTTGTTTGTCTTACACTTAGCTTTAGCTAAACTTTCTGTTGTAGCAATTTCAAAAAATTCTAGGAAAGGTGTCACCAACCTGATTAAGACTTAGAGCTACTTTATTGCACTCAGTCACAGGAACGGGAGGGGTTAGCTTAATGCTTAAATATTATATGATTAATACGATCAAATGTTCCATAAATGAATAAAAAAGAGAAATAGAATAAAATCAGATTTCAAATTTAGCCCACTGGTGAGTCGTTCAGTTTTCAGAAAATACTGGGAGCACCACATGTGGTCCTGATGGCCTCCCTGGTGCCCATAAGTGCCCCATCAGTGACCCCCTGGTCTAGGATGTAGGTTTAGCAATCCCAAAGATCTGGCTGTTGTTTTTGATTAGATGACAAGAGCAGAGTTGCTGCTTTAAGAGGTAAGGCCGCTTGAAATTATTTTTCTTTCTTTCATTTTCAATAGCAACCTCTCTGATCTGCTGATGTTGATGCGAACAAAGTGTTTCTGCAGTGAGCTGGAGACCTATGGATGCAGACCTAATGTTTTTAACGGTTTAGGAAGAAGATACTAAGTCAATATTCTGCCAGAAGGACTGAGTTAATATTATTATCTCTTTGTTGACCACTTTAGATCGTTAAGGACATATAGAAAAAGTACTGTCCAGTTAGCAAATGCAAACACTGCCATACAGTATAAGTCCTGAATGGGTCATGAAAACACTGAAGCATCCTGAGACCATGAAGTCATAATTCTGCCAAAAGTTATAATGCATAGTAATTACACACACCAGCAGTTTTATTTAAAACACACGCAAATAAACATTATTCTCCATTTTGGTTGTTTAATGAGTTCATTCTTATGCTTTTTATGCTCCCATAGATTCTTCAGACAAACCAGGAGAGCAGAGAAGGAGCATGGATTCATATTATAGTGGTGTTGAATCTGCATCATAGTTCATAAAAAATGCATGTGCAGAGTAGTTTTCAGGTGCTTTTAATTAAATATGTTCATTGAGGCAAATTCTCATGAATGTAGGGTGTCAAGTATCATTCAGTAAAGTTGGTCCGTCTCGAAACCATTGGCCAAAGCTGTGGAGTATAGACCCACATTTTATACAGATATTTGCAAGTACAGAAAAAAAATGCACCCAAGCAACATTTTTTTCCCCAATAACAGTTGAAGTGGTTAGTAGCTTTAGTGCAAAGGTTTCCACATGAAGAAGACAGAAGTAACTTTGAGAGCTTTAAAATGAACAAGTACTTTGTTTCATGTTCGTTATGCAGGCAGTTTTTAAAGCAGCAAGGCTTGTGAGTAAAGGCATCTTCCAGACACAGACAAAATTCCCTGTTTCAGACTTTTACTGTAGGAAACTGACAAAAGACTGTTTACTGTCACAGTCTGCCTCACCGTACTATTTCACATTCAATGTTCCCCTATTCATGCTTTTAAAGGCAGAAAAGTGTCTCAGTTGTTGAAAATAAGATGCATATTTTTTTCTGTCTTCAGATGCGTGTGTTAAGAAAGACAACAGTTGATTTTGAGCTTTGTTGGGATGCTGGGCCCCTCAACCCGAAGCCGGGGCCCTGTTAGTTGGTCTTTTCAGGCAGACTAATTACTGATATACTGTACCATTTGCCTCGCTGGTTTCTGAACTCCGCTGGGCCTCGGGGAGGGTGAGGACCTGGCCTGTGTGTGCAGGATACAGCCATGAGAGTGGAGAAGAAAGACACGTGGAGCCATTTAGGGTTTTCTCCCCCAGCATCCTTTTCAGGGCTGGGAGTTTTCTTAAAGCAATCGGATATTAGGCAGGTTCAATTTGGACCATATGGGCTGCATGTTTCTGCCTTGGCCTTTCGTTCTTTGATGATTATTACCTCCATTCACAGAATGAAGATTTATAGATCGGCATATGGAGAAGCGTCTGTTCTCTCTGATAAGTTGGCCGCTTTTAGGAAATCATTAAAAACATGCAATAACATCCATTAATATTTTAATACTTACTTTCCTCACACAAGAGTCCGCCGTACCCAACTTGGCATTTACAGTTGCCGTCTAAACAGATGCCTCCATTTTTACAGTCGATGTTCCTTAGGCACACAGACTTCTGCAACTCACAACGTTCACCTGCAGGGTCACAAACAAGGGAGCGTCAGAGGTGAAAGGTCAAGTCATGTTCAGTTTCGTAATAAGGTCATAACTTGATTCAATCAACATTTAAAACCCTGTTATAGATGCATAAAGGACCTTAAGAAAAATAAATATATAATCATAATTTTATATTTTAGCTGAGGAAAGGATACAAAAATGCATATTAGAATATACTAGAGCATCCTGGACCCCCCCAGTCTAACTGTATCTAACTGTATTAGAATGCTAGAAGAAAGAAAATTGAAGAAAAAAAAATACTCAGAAATTTAAAAGCATATTTTCCTTATATTTTTTGTGTTTTCATTGGTTTGGTTATTGTACCATGTAACTGGTTAGTTCTTTAACCGTAGGAGAAATCAGTCCTCAACAAAGAGTATTGATGAGGGTCACTCTTCCTAAAGATTTGGGGGTTTTTTTTCAATAAAAGGTCCTTATTTATAATTGAATAGAACAATTCAGACACAAAAGACAGATTAATTGTGAAACCATTATTTTTAGTACATTTATTATTAAGTATTTGTATAAATATTTCATTTTGGAAGGTTAGGACGATGTGATAAATTGAAACATAGTGATCTGGAATACATGGAAAAAAGTAATGCAACCGGTTTTGGAATTTACTTTCACTTTTACTATTTCACATTTAGTTATGTTAGGTTTTATAATTTATACATCATGTGCACTGTTAATTTGTTAGTCAGATTAGACAGAGCAGAAGGCCTTCCTTCACATTCACATCATATTGAGACAGTTGTTTCATGTCCTACCTTTCTAATGTGAAACAATTGTGTTAAAGTAATATATATATATATATATATATATATATATATATATAGCCATTGTTTTGATTTCTGTTACAGTAAGCAGTTTATTAATACATTAAAACAGTGTGATAAGTTCACACCTTTGGTCCAGCAAAACCACCAAAGCCGGGCTCCCCAGGTTCACAGTCGCACTCCGTTGGCCCCTCCTGTCCAAGAGCAGAATCACCTCCTGATTCCTCATCTGAGGAGTCTGTATCCTGTCCTGCTGGGTACTGAAATGGTACCTGAAATAAAACCATGAAGGAATGAGTAAGTAAGATATGAATAAACTATAACAGATTTCATGATTATCGATCGATCGATCGATCTATCTATCTATCTATCTATCGATCTATCTATCGATCTATCTATCTATCTATCTATCTATCTATCTATCTATCTATCTATCTATCTATCTATCNTATTTTATTTTTTTTTTTGAAAAACAGATTAATGTTAAATTGGAAACTTTTCCTGGCACTAATCAATCTCAAGGTTTCTAAACTTACAAACATTATGCCCCTACAATTAAAGATGGCCTCATGTTACATTTTTTTTACATATCTTTAGGATGTAATAAATAGAGTTATATTATCTCACACAACACTGGTTGTAAAAACAATCTAATTTAAAAGAAGGAAAAAACTGTGACTCCTGAGCAGATCAGACATGCGGTTTATAATAAAACACTGACCTTCAAATCCATCTTTGCAGAAACACTGGTACTCATATTCTGCACTGGGTATGCATTCCCCACCATTCAGGCAGGGTCGGTGGTCACAGGGACTGTTGTCCACACATCTGCTAATTGATTTGCTCTCTGTGAAGCTGTAGGACAAGTCCACCTTCTTGTTGTTGATGGAAACCTAAAGGCGAGAAAGAAACTTGGCTGAGCTTCCACAGCCATAAGAGCGGGCAGCAACCCTCTGTACAGAGACTCCTTACCTCTCCTATGCAACCATCAAACATCCGTGTAACATTTGCAGGTTTGGGCAGGATGTCCATACTCGGCACCCCTCCCAGATACATGGAAGTATGGATATTAAGGCCCTGGGCTTTTCCTGGAGACATCCTCCTTTGCACTGGGCCCTGGTCCACTCTCAGATGGCCAGCCCTCTTGTTTCTCTCGGCTACAACTCTGTGCCACTGACCCAGAGAGACTGGCTGAGGACTCAAAAGGACGGCCTGTCCTGGAATTCAAGACAGAATAAAAACTGTTAAGAATAATTACTAAAAAATAAAAAGCTTCATTTTATTAAGTAGTGAACAGAATAATTCAAAAGTGTTCATACTGGAATAAGGTACTTTGACTTGGCCATTTTAACACATTAATATCGACTGGAAGGTAATCCTTCATCCAAGTTTCAAATCCTTTGCAACCTCTAACAGCATTTTTGTTTGCAGGTTTGACATGTTTTTAATGTCAGCCTATCTTAACATTGACAAGAAAGAAATTACTACAGTTATCAATGAAAATGAAATTCAAGATTAATTTAGATCTAATCTAATCAGAGCACCTTGTGATGAATGTTCTGTATATCCTCTTAAAACCTTAAGTGGGGGTAATAATTCAGAATGCATAAAATTCCGCAGGTAAATTTTTTTTACCAGCAGGTGGAGTCATTGCGGCACCTCCAAGCTGACACCAATAGTTCCATACCCCACAGCTCTGGAACTGTTATAGCTAGAGGTCAGAAAATGTCTGCATTTGTGGTTGACATAATATAGAACAAATATAATACGTATAAAACCTGCCTTTTCTCAATAATGTCTTTATTGCTGATGTTCAAAAAAGACCTATCATTTCAGAGAATAAAAAAAACCCAACTTAGAGTCATGTTAGAACTGATGCAGGTTGGTCTGTGTTCTACTCACCCAATTTTATTTATAAATTAGGAAACTAGAGGGTGTTGGCTTTCAAATAATGCTTTGCACATGTAATTTGGGCTTACAGTTCCTAAGTTATTTGCTTTTCCATTTGGGTAATGAAAATAGGCGAGGATTAACCAAAATGAGGTGGATGTTAAGAGGTTAAAAAAAAATTAAAATAAACAAAAAAAATAAAACTGTGGCAAATCGGTGCCGAGGCCTGACATCTTTTGCATATCTGCCATAATCATTAAGAAGAATAAACAATATATATATATATATATATATATATATATATATATATATATATAGAATATATAAAGAATAATTACACAATTTAGTATTTTAAGGACATGCATATTTTTTCAGGGTGTTGTTTGCTCTCAGCTCTCAGTGTTGTTTACCTGTGCCAAGTTCATATCTGAACTCCACGTGCCCGTCCACCATAGAAACAGCCACAAAGTCCTCCACTTTGGTTTTTTTACCGCCGCAGAAGAACATCAAACCATTCCCTCTCAGTGGTTTGAACTCCAGCTCCACACGCAGATCATCGTGGACATTAGTCAGGGGTGGGTAAGCTATGTACGACTCATCCCCGTCAAACAGTGGAGTGGTCACCAGCTCACCTGAAAACATTCAGTGAGGAATGTGAATCATTAACAGTCTAAATTGCATGGAGCTTATGGATGTATTTGCGTCGTTATGAATAGCGAAGTGTGCTGCCTCTTTTACCTTGCATGCATTTGTCTCCAAACTTGCCCAGATGGCAGCGGCAGTCATAGCCCAGGCCGTTCGGGCGGTTGATGCAAGTAGCATCAGGTCCGCAGGCCTCTGTAGGAACCAATTGTAAAATGTTACTAACAGAAGGGATCACTCTAATCTAAGGTTTAAACCTCAACTTTTAAAGGTGCACACTAATGGCTGACACTTATATAGAGACTCTAGTGTTGATTTACATTCACCTGAGTGGCAGTGCAAAGATGAGTGATGCTGGCAGTTGCTGCCTGTGAATCCTTTGGGGCAGGTGCACGTATAAAGGCTGGCATCTGAATCCTCACACCTTCCTCCATTCTGCAAAAACACAGAGTGGAAAAAGTTTACAAAGGCACAGAGCAATACAGTCCTGAGAAAATAGATGATTTAAACTGACTTGGCATGGATAATCTTTGCAGGTGGGACAGTTTGTCACGCCAGTAGAGCTACGGTCGAGTTCCTTAAAGATTACTTCCTCTCCTTGGATGACCAGCTGACGGATACAGCCTACAAAAAATAAAAAAATAAATAACAGAAAGGAAAATCAGAAAATCCAAGCTGCTAAATAAAATCCACCTGATGTTCCTCTTGGAGGTAAATAATGTGAGGTCTTACCCACAAAGCCGGTCTTGATGCCAGCTGTTTTTCCGATGGATGAGTAGTTGGGGTAACCGCCAACATGTAACTCCTCATTCAGATCAAGTCCCTGGAACTTGCCCTGATAAGTAGAAGAAATTCAACTTTAAGTGGTGCACAGCTTTAACTAGTCTCACATGTGGTGTTCGTTAAATGTTCATTCTAAGCTTTTACGTACCTGTTTTAAATATTAATGATTACATAGAGTTTTATCGCTGGAAGATTCAATATTCCCTTTCAATGCTTTAGCACTGCCGTAATTAAAATTAATGCAGCTTTATATCATGAGACATGCAGTTTGTGATATTACTGTAAAATGTTTTGATTATTTTATTTGTTCAATAAATTTTGCACAAAATTTTATTTTGTTATTCATTTTCAATATATTCATATGTCCAACAATGTCAGTTTATTAACTCCTTTCTTAGACTGCTAAATACTGCATGCATTAGGTCCTTTGTTATGATGATGGTTTATACTCTGGTGACAATTATTGCCATTCAGTATTTTTTTTCTATGAATTAACCATGATTTTTTTATGTTCTTATTGGACAGCTTCAGATTTGATCAAATCTATGCAAACTGAAACTGTCCTTGATATAAAAAAAAAAAAACACATCTGAATTTAGTAGTGATTGCTTTGTTTCCTTTTTTCATCAGATCTAATAATGTTTATTTATCTACATTTAAGCAACCATGTGTCTACAAACAAAATAAAGTGCAGCTTGGCGCTACAGCAGTCGAAAACCTTTTGTCCTTTCCTCAAACATCTGATGACCTTTCCAAACATCGTCCATTATATAAACATTTGCCTGTTCAGGGAGAAATAGATCTCCCTCCAAAGGGAACAGAGTGAATTACGATCACAAAAAATTTCGCTTTCTATATCAAATAAAACTTTTGCATTAGATCAATAAAATATGTTCATATCATTCAAGAAAAGTAAAAGTAATAAAATAATTAAAAATAATTCATGCTTTTTAAAAATGTTTTTCAGTCAAAGTAGTTGAATAAATCAGCTGTTTCTAAATTTAACAAAAGCCAATGGCAAAAAAAAATTAAGATGTGAATTCTTTTAAAGGATTTGTTATTGTCATAAAACCTCATTTTGCTCATTCTTGACTCAGATCCAGTTCAAGAAGCTTAATATTCTACAAGAATAAAATATATTAATCATACTCACATTAACTAATATTTATAAAGATAATAGAAGCAAGTCCTGTGCTGCTTTGCAATGCAATGTATGTCAAGATGGAGGTTAAGTAAAGCAAAAATTATTTCTCATTATTTTTAAACAGGAGGAGAAACAGTTATTCAGACATTTGTTTTAGTAAATATTTTTTTTATTTCATATATTTCTAACTTTATGTTTTAACAAATTTCCAGCCAAAACTTCTAAAGGCTGAGTTTTGTTTACACCTTTACTTAAAGAACAACAGCTCCACTATGGGAAACTTCTATATTATTTCTAGCTATGCAAAACAATCTAAAGCTTCTTGGGTTTGTTTTGCGCAAGAAGACGGAAATAATTCCAGCAGTAGAAGCTTTTAATTAACTAAATAAACTTTTAGAGTTCAGGATAATGTCTAATGGTTAATTACCTGTGATTTTCCACTGATGGGCTCCCCTCCGTCCACAATAATAGATCCCTGGGTGAGGTTACGATGCAGCTCCACCGTGTGAAACTCTCCCAGTTTAATGGGGTTGGGGTCACGAATGGTGGCCATGCCGGAGCCAACGTCAAACCTAGCATCAGATGGATTTCTGGAATGACTGTTTTTATCCACAGCAGCCCTCATTATGCAGCGTTTATTCAAAGCCTGACCTGAACTCCAGGCGTCCACTAACAAGTCCTAGAGAAATGAAGTCGGCTCCTGTCGTTTTTCTCTGGCCGTTGTAGAGGATCATGCCTGCGAGGCGAAGAAAAAGTCAATCAGGGAAAGCCATGCCTCTACAATCCATCCTAATAGGTTCATAAATCTTCAAAGTGTTTTCATGGGAGACTAAAAATGTCCCACCCAAAAAAACAGGAAGATTATGAATTTGATCTGAGAGATTTATTAGGATAGATATTCTTTTGGGTTCAAGTCGCAGCAGAATGGTGAAGCAACATGCCACGGAGTCGCAGCTTCAAAGCTAAATAAAGCCATGTCAAAAAAAAACAAAATGCTGTCAAATCTTTGGGCTGAGAAATGCAACCTGCTGCATCATAATCCAAGATTGCTATGTGAATTCAAAGACATGCTGGAAACTCACATGCATAATGTACATGAGCTGTTCATTCTCATGGAGATGGCGTGCATGTTTTTTTTTTTTTTAAGGGAAAGTCATATCTTACAGTGAAGCTGATCAACATAAACCTAGTCCTGTAAATTCTTCAAAAATTCTTTTTTTGTCCTCAGCTTTCTTCTTTTAGTCATCAAGGGAAGAAAATTCATGTCTAAGGCAAATTATAAGAAAAAAACATAGTTAAATGTTTGTTGTTTTTGTTATTTTCCAGTCGAAATTTTGTTATTTTTTCACACATGCTCCAAAAGTTGGGTTTATTCCTGAAGAATGTGATACTGTACAGAAAGATACTAATATGGTGGTGCCATTCGCTGAAAAATGTATCAGGGTATAAGTCTTTCACATCTGTCAATATTAAAAATTACAGGTTAGTATTTATTTTTTTGTTATTATAATTAAAGACCAGGGTAAAATAAATAAATAAAAACAGATTTAAAATGTAACAGTAATCTTATTTAAACAAAAGCTTTTACCTTTAAAAGCAGCTCAGCCTTTCTACCAAATTAGTTAAGTTTGGCTGAGAGGATGAATCCTTTCCTCAGCCTACATCTCCCAGAAAACCATGAGCTTCTGGATCAGAGTTTAATAAAATTATTGAACATTTGATCAGACATATTCTATATTAATACTGATCATTTGTCTATCCTGATATTTATTGATGTTGATTTATTGCCCAGTCTTATCATAGTTAAATAATATGTCCAACAATTGGTCTAAAGCTTTGCATATTTATCCATATTGCTCATTTTGGATAAAAGTTTGTTTTGTTTTACTTGTAATGATCAGCTCCTTGCAGTGAACATGAAGGATCGCTTATCTATAAACACATATGGAAGGATTTGAGGGGAAAAGCCATAATACCCGTGAAATTGGTAAAATCCAAGTGTTTGATGATTAAAATCTTCACTTTATTATGTGAGATCTGAAGTTGAATGCATAAACACAGCTTATGCAAAAGTTTTAGATATAGTTCTCTCTGTATTTGATATAGGTGTAGTGCATCTGGAATGAAATATGAAAACATTGCAACATGCATCCTGTTTTTCTGCTTTTGCAGCCCATAATTAAGCTCTGAGCAAGACTGGGGAAGTGAAATGCAGCCAGAAAGCACAGTGCTGCAAACATCAGCCTCGCGTCCTGAGACTCACCAGCGTACAATATGAGACCTTCCCACCCATGCAGAGGGGAGAGAAGGGAGGGGCACAAGATCCAGTGAAATTAAATATGAGACAAAATTAAGTATTTTACAAAATGTACCAACAGTAATAAAAGTTTGTTGTAAATCAAATGCAAACATGAGGATTATGACTCACTTACCATCAACATTATCAGGTCTAAAGTTTATCTTTACGCTGAAAGCCTTATATGAGTTTTTAATGGTGGGCAGAGTGAGGTAGGACAAGGGTTCCTGGGCAAAGTAGGGCATCACTCTCTCTGAAAGAAATACATCACAGTGAGACATCAGGAGTGTTTTAGTTCCAGGTGCCTCTGGGTCGTACTCTGCACTTCTCACACTAACCGTGGACTTCAAGTTTAGTGAAAGCTGCCACTTTGCCGTGCTCATTAGAGGCGGTGCAGACGTATGTGCCAGAGTCCTCGTGGGTGACCTTTGGGACTGTCAGAACGTTGGCCTCCTGGAAGCACTTAGGAGGAAGTTCTCCTTCCGACTACAAGAAGAAAAGGGAGTAAAAAAAAAATTGGAAGGGCTGCAATCCAAACATGTGATTTAGTCTAGATCAGGGGTCTGCAACCTTTAAATGCCAGAGAGCCAATTTTGCCCCAAATCCAGCTAAATAAAAGTCGTTTACAACCGCAAATATCACATAACCTTTAAGAAAACACAACTTATTTTTTAAATATCTGCTGTTGGAAATCTGAGGGTCTTTAAAAAAAGCAGTTTATTTTTTTTAAATAAGGGTTAACATAAAACATTTCATATAAAAAGGAAGTATTGATTAAATTATTTAATGTGTAAAAATAAACAAAAACAAAAGAAATTATCATCAAGCTAATCACAAAAAATAGACCTAAAAACATATTACTGGTGCTTTTCATGTAATTCTCTTGTTAAATTAAACCTAAAATGTCCTTAAAAAATTGTTAAACCGTCTAAGAATGCCATTATTTATTAAACTGTATTCAGAACCATCAGTTGGCTTATTTATAGTATTTTGGTACTACTGAGGGCCATAGCGAGTCCTAAGAGCCACTTGTGGCTCTAAAGCTGCAGGTCTAAGACTGCCATTATTTATTAAACTGTATTCAGAACCATCAGTTGGCTTATTTATAGTATTTTGGTACTACTGAGGGCCATAGCGAGTCCTAAGAGCCACTTGTGGCTCTAAAGCTGCAGGTCTAAGACTGCCATTATTTATTAAACTGTATTCAGAACCATCAGTTGGCTTATTTATAATTTTTTGGTGCTAATGAGGGCCATAGCGAGTTTTAAGAGCGACTTGTGGCTCTAAAGCTGCAGGTTGCAGAGCTCTGGTCTAGAAGCTGTGCTCGACTATCTAAAAAAACCAAAGAGACTTTTGAATGAAATTATAACGTAAACAGATTAGAAACCTTAGTTACCTTTGTCCATGTGATGTCAGGGACTGGATATCCTGAAGCTAAGCATGGCATGACTGCATCAGACCCAACTGTCACCTCCTTAGTTTCTGGCAGCGCAGAAATTTGAGGAAGGGCTGAAAAAACAGGCCAACAATTAAACTAAACCAACTATTTCCATATCAGTCAAAGCAAACCCTTGAAATTTCCCCCTACTGTATGGTTAAATGTAGAGTGTGTATTCATGGATGTTTCTAAGATAAAAAAAGGGTTGATTTCACTCACACTGGACATTAAGCAGTACTTCAGACTGAACAGAGCCTACGTCGTTGGTGGCTGTGCAGCGGTAATGGCCGGCGTCTGCCTCGGTGACCTGGTCGATCCTCAGCATGCCATCCTTCACCATGATGTGTGACGGCAAAGGGCCTCCCACTTTACTCCACTGAACTGTGGGCTCTGGGTCGCCAACAGCGTGGCACTCGAACTCCACAGAGTTCCCGATCATCACAGTCTGCATTGAGGTGCGCACATTAATCATCACCTTCGGCAGAGCTGTGCAGAGGGAGAGAGAAATGTGAATTAAAAAATATGTAGAAAATGTAATATGTCTCCATATCTGAGCATTTTCAGATTTATTCAACAGAAACTTGAAGACAACTTTTCCCCCTGGGTTTATAGTCAGGAGGATGTGTCCAAACCTTGAATGGTTAATCTGGCGGTGTCCTGTGCTTGACCATACACACTGCTTGCTCTGCAGATGTAAACTCCTTCATTGCTCTGCTCCAAGTCTTCAATTCTGCAAAAAAATTGATGTATTTCACGTATATTAACTTAATGCATCAAATATGCTTTTTCTGGAAAAAAAACAAAAAAAAAGTGTCCACAGCTGTATATTGGTCCTTTATTCTCCAGGTGCACAGTTTCATTTCGTTAAAACATTTTACAGTACAGTATTTTATTTGTTTATTTTTTAACTCTTCACTATTGTGCCATTTTTATACACTTGTGTGACCATTTTCTCAGTAATCTTTTTGCTGCTGTAAGACCAGAATTTCCCCATTGTGGGACAATAAAGGGATTTTCTATTCTATTCTATTCTATTTATCAGGTATCACTACCCCCTAAAATGTCTATAACCTGTTTTCAGGTTACAGATAGAAAAATCTTTAAAAAAGAGTCTGGTATTTATCTTCTTCCTCATATTTGTGGTCTAGTCAAAGTCAGGAACCAAAGTCGAGAATAAAAACTTGCATTCAAAGAGACTTTCCATCTAAACTGACTGCTGGGGCTATTTCTCAGGCAAAGATGGACAAAATATCCTCAAATTAATAAAAAATATAAACTAGAAAGATTTTAGTTTTAATAGGACAAAATCTGAAGGAATGTTCAAACGTTTGACAATCTTTTTGCAAGGAGTCTTAAATGGATT